TTATTTAATTGTGACATTAATTTTAAATATCTAAATTCCTTGGAATAAAATTTCATTGTTAAAAAAAAGTGTTCACTTTTTAGAGAATTTTCACTTTTTAGAGTAAGTTCCATTCAAAGGAATTTAAAGAGATAAAACTTTTGTATAATTATCTTCTATATATAATTGCTATCACTGTGTTTTTTCTTTGAGCATTCATTTAATTATATGTAATAATCACCATTGATACAAAAATCAATTATTGATACGTAAAATATTATCGGCGTTACACGCTATATAATTACATTCCAATAAACTCCAATAATAAAAATAATGCAAGAGACACGCGGAAATTGAAATATCTGATAAACCAGAACATTTCTTTAGTATTGTTGAATTTGTCGATCTTCAATTATGCAATTTTATTAAATTCTCTATGGATGTATGCTTTCAAAACGACGAAATCTAATATCACACATGATGTGCTCCGCAAATATATATCAATATATATGTTTAGTTGAATTTCACCAACTAAACTGCCTAAAAAGATGACAATAAAATGCAGAAAGCGTCAATACTCTTTCATATTTTATTTGACAGCGATAGATTTCTAGGTGATTTGTCGTCTTGCTGACAGAACGATATCGTTTTTGTATTATCCTTCAACTACTGCGTATTGACTACTACGTTTTGACAAACGGAGTTGACTTGTGACGTCATTTAGATTTATTTTACCAGATAGCTCTTTCGTTTGAAAAAACAGTAACTTAAAAATTATTTTCTCTGCCTTTGCTGGTTACATAACACGTACATAAAGTTCTTGAAATACTAGATTAGTTTATATGCATTTTTATATATATAAATACACAAATTAATGTTAGAATTTCAAAGTCAGTTATGTAATAATATAATATATAAATATATTATAAAATGCATGCTGTTTAATTTTTTTCCTAGTAAATTTTATTATTATGAATTATATTTTTATTATTATCTTTTAATATGGAAAATTATAAAAACATGTTTATATTACGGAAAATTAATTACCAAATTAGTAGAGTATCACGGATGAGGTTTATAAAAGCAAACCGATAACAGAGCTAGAATTAAAATACCAGCATGATCTCGATGTTTCCGGCTTTCCACTTCATTTCCCCCACTTCAATCACCCATTATTTCCACAACGCTCAAGGTAACTGAGCATTTATATAATCCCATTAAATCCCATTTTAATCGATTGTCATGAATCCGAGTCACGTGGTTCGTGCAAGGCGGTCACGTTTTGACACTAATTTTTCAGAAAGAATATGACGACACCAGTAGCAATACTATGATATGTGTCTACGTGGATTTATGAAAATTCGACGAGATATGAGATACGCGAGAATTAATCTGATCATAATATGCGAAATACGTGCCAGCTGCGCTATAATTAAATGATCACCCCCTATGTCAGAAATGAATTAAATCCCGTGGCCGCGACACGTTGTTTATGATCACGGATATATTACATTGTAGTTTACGGGAAATACGCGGAGTGAAAATGGTAATGAAGGGAATATCGTACATTTGCGAAATACTGAAAACATGTAGCGTTTGACATCTACCGTTGGAACTTTGTGCGGTATCAATCGCTATCAGCGTTTATGTAGGCATTGCAACGGCAATAAATTTTTTATTGCATTCTATAAAATTCGTATCTTTCAACACAGGTGGCGATATATACAGATTTAAGAATAATGTATATTTACATTTTTATAGAAGAATTTATATTCAATATATTTCAATATATTCTTTTATAAAAGAATTTAAACTTTATGTAATATTCAGAGTATCTTTACATTATTCTACAATGAAAAAAATACAAGAATCACACAAGATGGCATACAAAATATAATATCATTTAATTATTCAATTTTCAAACTTTGGTAATCGTTAATAAATTTTCTTTATACCACCTTCATACTAAATTAAAAATAAATATATATCTTATAACATATAAACTAAATGGTATGACATTTTATGTGTTTAATTACCCCTATTTAATTACGTTGATTTAGTTTACTTTATTTATCAGATTAATTTCGTTAAAATTTAATTTACATGATATTCTGTTTAGCGTCGACTTACTTTACCTTCAGATTTATGCCAATGGAACTGGCTCAAAGTACCTTCGCAATATTGTTCTGCTTCGCGTAAATTGTGGAACAGTTTGCAAATTTCGGTCAGATGTTGTTGATATTAACTGTGATCGTATGCTTTTGTGAGCATTTGGTAATATCCTTTGAACATGAAACCGTAAGCGACGCGTATTTGAACATACTTTTATACCGTCAAAATGTAATATTTAATATCGCGGTAAAGAAACTATCACATATTTGATAATTGATGTGCATTATTAAAAAAATTTTTTTAATGATAACAGATATTAAAGAAAAAAAAACATATTTCATTATAACTAAACATATTTCATTATATATCAACATATATCAATAAAAATAGTTTATACGACAAAATTGATAAAATTATCAAGACTCGACATCGGGAAGTTATTGATGTTGAAACTAATAACACATGACGACAAATAGGATACGTAAACAATGATTTTAGTACAATATATCAGGAAATATTTGTCACTGCCCCGGTAACGTAATTAACGTTATTACAGTGGTAGATTAGTGACGCTTGAAATCCAATTTCGGTGATGCGTTTGACGTCAAGCTCTGCATATGATAGCTACAATTACAACACATGTCTGCGGCCAAAGGACCATGTGACACCTGTTTACATTTTACACATTTTACTGCGCTGAATTTAAACAAATTTCAATATTCATAAAAATTGAAACAAATTTTTGTACTGCTCTCTTATTCGAAATTTTTTAAATATAAAAGATAAATTACTGAAATTACTGGACAAAATAAATTAAAAAAAAAAAAAATCTCTTTATAATAGAGTCAAGTATCAAATAAATTTCGGAATATCAGATAAACTTTATAATGTTTAAAATGTTTGTATAATTTGATCAAGCTAGGCAATAATAAAAAATAAATTACTGCGTCACTAAAGAAGTTCGTACATAAATTTGCCAAAGACAAAGAGAATTTTTAATTTAATTTTTAAAGAGAATTTTTACTCGAGAAAAGATCTATAAAGTATGTTACAGAAATGATTATGATTTCATTATGATTTCTATTGATACTTGAATTTATTATTATGGAGAGATTTTTTTTAAATTTATTTTGTTGTTTAAATAAAAAATCCATTTTACACTCGATTTTAAGAAGATATAAGAATTTCAATATTCTTTGCACACGTTTATGTGGAGCATCACGCAACACCTGCTGCGTTTCATATTATACAATCTTGTTTCTGTATAGCGTAACTGTCCCAATTACTGTGTCTGTCCCTTAGTGTGCTTTTATATTTCGATAAATCATAAAGAAAATTAGCACGAATAAATAAGAAAAAATATTTTTTTTTTGTTAAATTAAATTATTATGCATATCGAAGATAATATTTTATTTTTTTAGTATTAAAGTATTTTAAATATTTTTCAAAAAATATGAGGAATTTATGTGAATCCAATAATACGTACCGCAAGATTTTAAGCTTGTCCCTATTAATGTGCCCTGTATTGGAGCTGAGAACATTGTGTTATGAGTGTACATTGAAATAAACATAATTGAAATAATGATTTAAGTAATATATTAACTTAAATTTTACTTGTTTTAGTAACTATATGTTAAAATGAGTCAAAAATGTGGATAGGCATACAAATTGCACATTAATAGGATCATCGCCATTTGGAGGATTCACTTAATAGGAATAAAAATGTTAATACTTTATAATGTTTTTTATTTTTGTCAAAAACATTATAAAGCATTAACATTTTTTAGATTAAAAAAATATTGTAAAAAAAAGGAATAGTTGAAAAACCGATATTGATTGCAAGCAGATAAAATTAAAACTACAATATTTAATAATTAATTCAGGAATAAGCAAGTTGCCTAAAAGGCAACACATTAATAGGGATAGTTATCTTATGAGAAATGTACACAAATTTGCGTAGCAGAAACACGCGCACATTTGCGGAAATTTGACTGCGCAGCTATCTCGTTTATTCACCCATTATTCACATCCTTTTTGACAAAATCCTCTTCAATAAAATTTTTAATGTAACTTTTATATAATCTCGTTTTCGATAACAAAATATATAATTAAAATATACATAATTTATATTACCTAATCGAACAAGCTTCATTTATGCGAATTATATCGAAGTTTATGATATAATTTTTGTAAATTTTTCGCAAATCACTGTGTTTAACAAGTGATACGAAAATTCCATCTTGCAACGTAATGAAGTAAATGTTTAATTATTGGCTCACTTCCGGAAACTGTTGCTTTGCGAAAGGTCAGAGGATAATTCTTGTACGCGGGAAGATACCAGTGATCACAGCCATGTTTCATTAAACCCCTCTTTGAGGCATGTTAAATCGTAGTCCTTGGCTAGTAGAACTAAATTGAATTCCCCTAGGAAACTAACACTAATATGGGTTATCCTGTAATGAAAACCTATTCGCCAATTACATCACACATACTAAATACCAAGTATTAATTCCTTCAATGAATAATAAATCTGAAATTCTACTTTTGTTCAAAATTAGTGACAAAATGATGAAGCCGGATCCGAGCTAACAATTGAATTAAAAATTAAAACAATTGAATAAACGTGCATTTTTTTAATATAAAATATGCGAAACAGTTTATTATTTAACTACG